CGATAGTGAAGTTTGAGTTGAAAGGTATGTGTCTGTTTGTCTGGAAGACTATAGAAAACTGTATTCAAATGTTTTCTTGTTTGTGGTAGCTATAGAAAAACAAGTCAGGTGGAAGAGAATGTAAACCTCAAGTGTTCCCAAGGTGAAGTGCATGCACTATTTCATTAGGAAGAGGCAGTAACTGTGTACTGAGCATCTAAGTTTTACCTTTATATTTACACACCTAAGACAGAAACTTATAAACTGTCAAATCTAAAGCCCATTTAAAACAACAGCAACAAAACAACAACAACAAAAAAAAAAACAGTATCTCCCTATGGTCTCCATTGTTTTTTCATTGTTGCAATCAACTGCTCTGAGTCAAAGTAATACCAAATTTGTTGCTGTGAGTCAAACTATCACCTAATTTGCTAAGACAAGAATGAATGATTACCCCATGTCACACATCTGTCAGTCAAGATCCTGGCCAGAGACCTGTGAATTGGCTCTTCATGGTGTTTCTAATGTGTTCTGTAATTGATGGAGACACTAGGTCTGAAATGGAAAGTCATAGTTGCTGGAGACTGATCAAGAGACTTGTTTTGCTGTCTTGTATTCTCACAGTTTCCTCAATCACGGTTTCCTGGCTCCTCTAAAAAAATTTTTTTTCTCTGAGACACAAAAAGGAGATACAAGTGTCTTACAATTTCTACTCTGTTGCAGAGTGCACATCCAGTGGGCTGTGAGGAGCTGCATAGCATAGTCACCTGAAATCTGTCTTTTGACTTTTTCATTAACATTTCTTGAATGTCATATTATAAAGATTACAGTAATCAGACATCTCCCCAAATGGGGAACAGAGCCAGGAAATGCTCCAGATGCCCACTGGAGTGTCTTCTCCAGTTAGCATGCTTTGGAAGCTCTGCAGGGTTGACTCATATCCACTGTGATGTCCTTCAGGTTTGTGGTGGGTTGGGAAGATGGCACTGGTGGAAGTTCAGAAGTTCTTTGAGAGCATTGGCTAGTGGCTAGCACTGAAATTCTGCCATGTGTGAATTCACCAATGATGCAGTCATCCAGATCCAGATCCACACAGAGACCAGTCTCAAAGTCACCATGCTTCTGAGTATCAAAGTAGAGGCCTGAGACCCCCCTCCCTAGGGAGTATGGTGGAATAGGGCCAACTGCCTGGTTTTAGTTCTTGAAGTCTTTGAGCTTGTCAGCACAAGGCTTACCAGGCTCACCCTGTGTGGAGAAATGCATGACATGCTGTGCACGTGCAGATAATTTGGAAATTTCTTTCTTTGATTTCTAATGTCCTTACTTACATTTGCAATTTTTATTCTGCAGTCATTATTTTGCAAAGCTTACTTGTCTGAATTCTCATTCAGACCATTAGCATAGGTCTTATATTCAGATCACAATTGCAGTTTTGTTGTTTGTTTTTCCTTTTTTTCTGTTTCCTGTCCACATTGACTGCCCATAGGCCTTATAATGCTTGTTGATATTATGCTTTAAGAATCATAGTGAGCCCTCCAGCTGGAATTGTAAGGACCACTCTCTAACATGGTATAGGAACCTGTCACTTGGGCTGCAGGCTCTTCTCATTGACTTGACCCTACCACTCAAGACTCCAGGCCTGTCTCACTGGCTCTCTGAGAGAGTCTGGTAAGAATTAGTTTCGGGGTCAGGCTGAAGTGAGATAGGCATTAGATATCTGATCTACTTTTAACAGCCTGAGGAATGAGTGCAGAGGCATGGATAATGATACACGGACTAGGTTCAAATATAGATTCAATATAATTTATTTCTGGGAGAAGTTACATAAGAAGCAGATGGCCACCACAGGTTCCTGCTCTAAGGATCCACGCAGGCTGCTCCCTGTGACCCAACCAAATGCAAGAGAGAGCCACCTGCCCTGAACCCAGATCTAAACTCAGTCCCCATAAAGTCCTCATCTGTGATGATCAGCACTACAGATGCGGGTGGGGTGGATATCTCACTACAAATGAGCCAGACAATTGGAGCCTCTCCAGGGAGTCCTGCCTTGCTAGTGCATGTGAATGGGGCATGAGCAAGCATAGCACCATGACTTAACTTCAGTCCACCTCTCCTTGCTGGAAATTGAACCTCACACATCTGAGCAAGAATTTCTCCCTGAGCTATGTTCCCAGCCCCCCTTTCCTTTTACTTCAATGCACTCTTCTTTAGATTACCTTCTTCTGCTGAGCCAAAGCTCATCAACAATCTGTGGGTTTCTCACAAAAGTTTATTCTGGCACATCTCATCTTCTAGGGAGGCATAAATGCCCTGCATTACCTTGGGCAGTAGTTGGGTCTTTATGGAATCTTAAGATGTAACTGTTATGTTTTTATTTAAAAAGAGGAAAAGAGAAAGCTGCAAGATGAGACATGTTGACTAGTTTATTATATGGCCCGGCAGAGTAGGGAAACTGAGAAGAGGAACAGGGGTAATGGCTGACTGCCATGGTCGGTCACCATAGAGAGGCAGAGAGAGCGCGTAGGTGGGAGAGGAGAAGAGCAAAGGAGGAGTGAGCAGAGAGAGAGTGGCATAAAGGAAGAAAGCAGAGAGAGAGAGTGAAACAGGAAAGTTGGAGCTGTTAAAGGGAAGACTGCGCATGCGCACTGAGGTTCCACACATGACCAGAGTTCTCATGTGTGAGGGTGGCGTAGCATGTTTTCTTGTGTGTGCCCTAACTGTTGTCAGGGGGCAGCATCTGTCTCTTAAAGAGGTAGAGCCGATCAGCGTCAAAGCCTAAACCTTTCAGTAACACTGTTCTCTTTCTATTCCTTTGGATCAACATTGGAAAGGAAATCCATTCCGCTCCCACTCTAGCATGATGTTATGGAAATGGAGTGTTGTGAAATACTCTTTTTGTATACTGTGAAGAGGTGTCACACCGATTGCTTTAATAAAAAGCTGAATGGGCAATAGCTAGGCAGGATGGGGGCGGCAGAGCCTTAAGGAGTCACCAGGCAGGTAGAGAGGAAGCAGCATGGGCAGCACAGAGTAAAGGTAATAAGACCCCGAAACAAAAAAGCAGACTGATTAAAATTGGTTAATTTAAGTTGTAAGAGCCAGTTAGTAACAAGCCTAAGCTGTTGGTCAACCCTTTATAAGTTTCCATGTTATGAATTTGTTTTGAATCAGAGGGTGGAACTAGCTGCTACCTGACCAACATTAACTATAGCAGTTTTGGAGGACTGAGGACAGATAAAGAGACAGAAAGCAGTACGGTGGGGCTTAGAGAGGGTCTTGGCCTTTTGGATGCAGTTGAAGACTAGATAGTTACAGTTATAGTTTTCCTTGTTACCAAATTCAGAAAAGAAACTCACAAAAGAAGTATAAAGTGTATAAGGTTGAGAGACATAAAAGCTTAAATTGTTTATCTAAAAAAATGTTTTAAGGTCTAGAAGATAGTTTTGGGTTGGTAATACAAGTTAGAATACAAGGGTAGAAAATGAATTAGTTACCAAAGTTTACGGAAGATAGATAATGAAATATTTTTCTCTAAATTTACCAAGTACTAATGGATTGGACATTATGGATATAATTCTTATTTGATAATTGTTTTTCTTATATATAGTTTTACTGTGTTACAGATTAAAAAACTTTTTATTTTGACAAAAAGGGAAATAATCTTTTTCATATACTGGAAACATGTCACTGTGATTGGTTTAATAAAAAGCTGAATGATCAACAGCTAGGCAAGATTACCAGACACAGAGGATTCTGGGAAGAAGAAAGGTGGAATCACCAGCTAAAGAATGAGGTCATGTAGGAGTAACAAGCCATGAGCCACATGGCAGCATGTAAATTTAATAGAAATTGGTTAATTTAAGTTATAAGGGATAGTTAGAAACGATCCCAAGCTAGTGGCTGAACTTCTGTCATTAATAATAAGACTCCATATGGTTATTTGGGAGCTGGCAGGCAGGACAGAAAAAGACTTGCAACATTGGAGAGTATTTAGAAGTGCCTACTTGTAGAGAACTACAAGAGCCCACTTCTCTACAAGGCCTAAGAAAGGAGAAATACAAGTTTCAGAAACACAAGTGGACACCTTCAAAAACACCCAAAGCCATAAGGAAGAAGGAAAGAGTATAAGAAGAAGAGTATCTGTGTGGGGTCATGCTGGCAATGGCACCAGAAACACAGTTGTGACTTCTAGAAAGCCAGTGAAGGGACCTAGCTCCTGAGTGAGAACTGCAAGAAATTCAGGGATAAGTTCTGGAACATTCTTAGTCTTACTATGAAGTAGCAAACAGTCTGATCAATAGAACTCACTCTATGTACATATTCACATCCCTCTCCTTCATACTGGAAACAGACATTTTAATCTGTTCTAAGCTCAGTGATTTGATTTCGTGTTATTTGTTTTTGTGGGTTTGTCCTTGGTAAGATATACTGTGATATCTGAATAGGTTTGTCCATATCAAGGATTCTTTTACCAAGGCAGCTATGATCATTGTGGTGGACTGAATGAGAATGGCCCTCATAGGCTCATATATTTGAATGCTTAGTCAACAGGGAGTAGACTATTTTCTGTATAGGGTTGTTTTGCTAGTGTACATATCTAAAAGATTGTCTGAGCCTCAGGAGCTGGAGTTACAGACAGTTGTGATCAGCCACATGGCTTCTGGGACTCAACCCCAAGTCTTTTTAAGAGTAACCAATGTTTTTAACTGCTGAACCATCTCTCCAGCCCAAACATATTCTCATGTAGATGCAGTCACTACCCATTTTATGGTTCCCGAAAGTAAAGTATTCATAGGAGTTTCTAGGCTCCTCTGCCATTCACTCTGTTTAAAGATGAGTCCCATGTAACGTCACATTAGTACATCAGACCTATTTTAGGGATACTACTTACCTATATCAGATGCATAGCTCTCCTCTAAATCTGGGTATGTAGAATCATGTGTGGCTCTTGGTATTTATGTAATTGCCGACAGTTTTAATCAACACAATGTGTGGTATTCATTCTTTCTTCTTTATTTCAGGACATGTCATTCTGGGATGTGGCCATTCATTTCTCTGCAGAGGAATGGGAATGTCTGGGCCCCACTCAGTGGAATCTGTACAGAGATGTGATGTTGGAGAATTTCAGCAACCTTGTGTTTCTAGGTGAGGATCTCGTCTGTGGTGAGCTCTTCATTAACTGTCAGCATAAAACTCTTGTCTTTTGTACAGTATCTCATGGGAGCTTGTGCTTCCAACAATGAGGTTCCTAGAGCCACTTTTTAAGAAAATGAGGGCAATTATTATTATGTCTTAGAACTGTTTCATTTTTTTGTGCTCATAATCTTTTGTTTGTTTTTGTTTTTTTTTTTTCTGCTACAAGTGTCCTCCACATCAGTGGTGATGTTAGAAAGTAAGTGGCAGGAGCAGGGGGAATCCATGTTGTAGAGAATGTCACACTCTTTAGTTTTAACATTTTCCCTTGTAAAAGAGCAGGGTGGAACTCAAAACCACAGACCCTAAGCACCTCTCAGAATTTCAAAGTGGCCATCATATAACACATGAAGAACTAACCCTCTACAATCCTTTGTATTATCTTCCCATTCCCTATACACACAGTCCTGGAGAGGACATGCTATTTCCCAGGAAAACATGCTAACAATGTTGTTCTCCCTTTCCACAAACTAGGTCTTGCTTCCTGTAAGCCATACCTGGTCACATTTCTGGAGCAAAGACAAGAAACTTCAGATGTGAAGAGACAAGAGGCAGCTGCCATGCCAACAGGTGTGTAGGAATGAGCGGGGGACAGTGTCAGAGTGGGAGGCCAGAGTTCCAGCAGGGAGCCAGGTCTTGCCACATGTATTAAGATGTGATGCTCTGGTGGAACTCATTCTCTATGAGTCTCCCTTTCTGTCTTTACTGTCAATGATTTCTGTTAGATGTTTATAATGCTTCAAGTCTCCTAAGATTTGTTCTCCTCCCTTCAGGTCAGTTTGTGTTTACTGTCATTTCCAAATGAACTTTACTTACTTATTATAGCATTGTCTCAGGTATTTATTCCCTTCATAAAATATACATAAAACCTCATGTCCTAAATCCTTGAAATATATTATTTGATAATGTTATGAATGGTCAGTCTTCTTATAGAACCTAACATTCTAACCTTCCCCAAACAAAAGTCTGTACTTAGGCTATACATGTGTTTTCTAAGCTTGACTATTATGCTTTTTGCTTATCTATCCATAAAATTTCTATATTTTCAATGTACCCTTTTTCATTAGCATAATTCTCTTAAGGGTTTTCTTGATTGCTGATGTTATACCTTCCTTAGATATTTGACTTTGATTAATATTGATTGTTTTCTATGTTCTATGTTTTGATCTTCTTGTTTCAGTGCAAGGATACATGATTTCTACCTAGTTTTTGAACTAGGTTCCATTGAATATAGGTGTAGCTTTTTTATATAGAAATATTTACCTGTGAGTAAATGTCTCCACTTTGAATATAAGCATCATAAACACAAAGAATGTTGCTCTGTTTGTATTCATATTTCTAACTTTTCCTCACCAGGAGCCAAATGCTATACATGTCAAGAATGTGGCAAGGCCTTTGATTGGAACTCACATCTTATTAAACACCAGAGAATTCATTTAGGAGTGAAGCCCTACGAGTGTGAAGAGTGTGGTAAGGCCTTCAGTGCTCCATCATTGCTTTCTGCACACCGGAGAATTCATACAGAAGAGAAATCCTACAAATGTGAAGAATGTGGCAAAATGTATTACTATTCCTCAAAGCTTAAGGAACATCAAAAAAGTCACTCCCAGGAGAAACCCTACAAGTGTGATGTGTGTGGCAAAGCCTTCAGGTCTTCCTCCCATCTCTCTACTCACTTGAGAATCCATTCTGGAGAGAAACCCTACAAGTGTGAAGAGTGTGGCAAGGTCTTTAGAACTCCCTGGCAGCTTTCTAGTCATGTGAGGGTGCACTCTGGGGAGAAACCCTACAAGTGTGAAGAGTGTGGCAAAGGCTTCTCTACTCAGTCATACCTTTCTCAACACAAATTAGCTCACACCGGGGAGAAACCTTACAGGTGTCAAGAGTGTGGGAAACTGTTCTACTGTACGAAAAACCTTAAGGAACATCAAAGAACCCATTCTGGAGAGAAACCTTACAAGTGTAAAGAATGTGGCAAAGACTTCAGAACTTACACAGCACGTTCTAAACACCATAGAATTCACACGGGAGAGAAACGTTACAAGTGTGGAGAATGTGGCAAGGCCTTCCACCAGTCTTCTGGTCTTAAACAACACCAAAAGATTCATCTGTGAGAGAAAGCACATAGTCGTTTGCACTAAGAACTTTTGAAACAACTGATAATTCATAATGTCGAGAAGTGCCATTAGTTTGAAAAATGTTGCCAACTGTTTAATAAGCTTTGTAATGTTTCTCAGCACAAGGTAGTTCGAACTTCAGTGAAATAATACAAATGTTAAAGTGTTCATAAAATGTTTTCTACTTCTTCAGACCCTAAAAGATATAAAAAAATTCATTCTGACTAGAAGCTTTCCATGTGTGAGCAATGTGGTCAAGCCTCTAGAAGCATTCAGACATTCCCCAGCATAAAAGAATGAGTAGTAGAGGACAGCTACACACATGTGAGGAATGGGGTGAAGAGCTTTCCCAGTTAATCGATGTTTTCTGACCAGAATTTGTCCTGGAGAGAAGCAGCACAACTGTGGAGGGGTGACAGTGCTTTTAAAGGATCCTCATACCTTAAACAAAAGGAAAGCACACACTCTGAGCACCAACATTCCAAGTGTGAAGAATATTGAGAAGCCTACTCAGCCCTTGCTGAATGTCAAGGAAGTCACACACAAGAGATTCTCTGTAAGTGTATAAAGTATGACCCTGTGTTTGGCTGTTTTTATTCTTCTCTAAGAGTCATAGGGTTCATGGTGGTGAAGAGCACTACAAATGCTAAGATTGTGGTAGTCCCTTTACCTGACATTCATACACGAAGTGTCCCCAGAGACATTATACTAGGGGGACACTCTACACACTCAGATGATGTGGAAACAACCTAAAAATATTTTTCATTACCACCAGCATCAAAGAATCCACACTGATGAGAAGATCTGCAACTAAGATGTCCTATTTGTTTCTGCTCTCAGCTTCACAAAGTCAAGCAATATGTGATGGAGTCTCTAATCTGGATCTGATTGGCCGTGACCATATCTATGGGGTATTTTCATGAATGCTCATTGATACACAAGTGTCTAGACCAATTAGGATGATGCCAGTGCACCTTGGATGTGCCACACCTCAGAAGGTGGTCCTGATTGTAGAAGAATGCTGTTTGAGCTGAAGCTAAGGGGCACAAATCAGAAAGTAACATACCTCTCCTGTTCCTACATAACTCACTGCTGTAAATTTCTGCTGTGTTCTCCTGCCTTGGCTTCCATGGATGAAGTGCAGCCAGTGAAATGAAATAACCTCTCTTCTCCCCTAAGTAGTCTTGGTTGTGGTGTTTATCACACCAAGAGAAATCAAACTAAATAAGTAAAGAATGAGGGACAGTTTTCGACTCTTCTTTATATCCTAGTTATCCTCAGAGCCTGTCTCCTGGAAAACAATATTCTAGTAAATGAGTGAATTCATATTAAATAGAGACCTTCTACCTATGACTCTGACAGAAACTTTACCAACACATAAACCTCATAGAGCAAATTAAAACAGAAAGCATCATGTAAAGTCAAATTGTGTAGCAAATAAGGGAATTAATGTTGGAAATTGATACTGTTAAAGTGGAATGTTGAAAAACACTAGGTATTGCTTGGAATTAATGTAACATTGTTTAGTATGATGGAAAGAATCAAGTCGTAGATATCACAGTCATTCAGGCCACTCAAGTCTGAGGATATTAACTTGTTACAAACCAAATTATTGCATGAACCAAGATAATGGAGATGCCAGGAATCTGAAGAAAGTAAGTACAGGACCTGATAAGGAAAACTTCAAGCAATGATTAGCGAACACCTAGGAGAGACACTATGTATGTTTCAAGTGAAGCCAGAAAGGTGGGGGTCACCCAACTCAACACCAGTGCAGCAGAAGTCACAGATATCAAGACTGGGATTATCAGCCTGGGTGTTTGCCTCCTGAATTTTGGTCTGATCCTTCCTTGTTATGCTTTGATTATTCTGTTTTAGAGTGGGAATGTTTGTTCTGTGTCAGTGTGTGGTGAAATATGCTGCTTGTTTTTATGTTGTAGAACCTCACTTAAGACATTGCCTGAAGTCTCAGATGAGACATGTGCTGAGGTCTTTAAAACTCTTGAAATTTTTAGGTACTTTGTGGGCCTGTCTAGTTGGATGCTATTTTACTTATGAGATGAATGTAATGTTGGGGGAAGGGAAAGAATGTTATGATGTAGAGCTTTGTGGCTGGAGCTAACATGATGGCTTTGGGAGAAAGCTTGATTGCCACAGGACCCAAAACCATATTTATATTCTCGGTACTTTCATAATAAAAAGAGGGATTACCTCTGAAGGTTGTCCTCTGACCTCCGTTCATGGTTACACACACACACACACACACACACACACACACACACACTACAAAATAAATTTAAATTGTATTTTTTAAAATTGTGTTTGTGTTTCCTGTAGACAAGAGTTGGAGAAATAATACTTAAGTCTTAATTGTTAACACAATTAAATGTACAATCACATGAGAAGCCAGTCTCTGTATATTCCTTTATATTCTGGACTAATGTCTAATGTCTTCAGGGCTGAGATTGGAACCAGCTGAACAGCCCCGGGTTGGACCCTGAGTGTGTGTGTGTGTGTGTGTGTGTGGAGGGGTATGGACATGGGGAAACTAACTACCCAACGGCATTAAAGATGAGACAGAGACATCTGCTCATAACAGGAGTGCTACCAGTAAATACTGAAGGCCACAGTTTATTGAAGTATCATCTTAAATAACCATCCAAAAGTGAGGGTAATGGCAGAAAACATCCATTATCATGTATAAAGGGCTAATAGCAAATATTTCCTTTAACCCTAGAGACAATCCTTAGTACTCAAGCCCTCAGGTACCCCACACCAGCATATCTCACTATACCTCAGGTTGGGTGCAGACTAGCCCTGACCCAAGTCTTTTGTTATATGGAATAGGAGCCATTCCCCACCTAGGTCAGGCCATCCTGTGACTGGGTGGAACATATTTCCAAAATACTACACAGGCCCTGACACTTTTTTTGCTGAGACAGGGTTTCTCTGTGTAGCTTTGGAGCCTATCCTGGCACTCGCTCTGGAGACCAGGATGGCCTCAAACTCACAGAGATCTGCCTGCCTCTGCCTCCCAAGTGCTGGGATTAAAGGCATGCGCCACCAATGCCCGGCTGGCCCCAACACTTTTGCAGTGGTTATTTTCATTAGTTTACTGGAGGTCTGAAGACCTGTAGACTATGGGTGGAAGCATCTGTTTGGCTGAAATCCTGTATGGTATAAGAAGAAAGAAAACAAGAGTTCTATCTCCTCCTGCTTCATAACTGTGGTTGAAACATGACCAGCTGCTTTAAGCTCCTCTTGTCTTAACTTTCTCACTGTAGTAGATGGTATCCTTGAACCATGATCCAATTTAAACCATTTCTTGTGTAAGATGCTCTGAGAGCACATCACTGCAAAAGGAACAGTTGCTAAAGTTGCACGCCAAATGAGAGGATCAACATATAATACATATGCATCATAGTATTTTTTCCTTCTTCCCATAATTGGCATGGCCTCATTCTAAACAGACTTGTCAATCCAGGGGTATGCACTGCTTGCTGAATAGTGTCTCTAAATTGAGAGGGGTGATCGGCATCACTGAGTTGAACACAAAGCTTGGAATAAAGAACAGAATATGACACTGAATATGAACTTCCCAGCATCTCTGCTCAGAAACAGCTTCCCTAAGAATCAATGTCCATCATGAAAGCATCAGTGTTTCTTGTGATAGGGTTTGCATCGTCATCTAAGCATGAAATGTACAGGAAAAATTCTTTCCAAGGAAGAGATGGGCATTCTTAGTACACCATGGTTCTAGTGCAGTTTCTTCACTACAGTGAGCTCATTTGCTAGTCCTAAAAAACACATTTCTAATACCTGTGCATTACAGGAATCATTTCTGTGTTCTACCTCAAAAAAAAGGAGGGACTGTCAAGGCAGATACTGTTGATGTTCAAGATAGTGTCAAATATGAACAGTGTCAGGATCAAAGGAGAGGGAAATTCAATAAGGAATGACAAACGTAACACAGAGAGAAACCCTACAATGTATGATGGACCAGGAGTCAGTGCACACCCCAGTGTGATCCCAGGAGCTGTGCCCTCCTCCTGTGGGAGGTTGCAGGGGAGAGCTGTGCTCAGAGAACACCTGGTGCTGACTTTACAGTTGGAAAGATCTGATATGGATCTGGAAGTTCATTGCAAGTAAACGTCAGGGATCTGTAGTTTCTACTTTGTTCAACGATTTTAAACATCTCTGTCCCTGACCCATGCTCTTCACTGCGTGGATTCCAGGGTTCATAGGAACCCCATTCCTCCTGTGGAGTCTGATCCATGCATGGCTCACACTGAGTGTCAGCACAGGAGGACAAGGATTATTTTTATTATTGGGTATTAAAACAAAGCCGCCTTCATTATAGCCAATTGCTTTACCCTGGGATAGCCCACTGTGTATCCTTGACATTGTGTTTAGATGTAGCGCATCTATAAATTGTCCTTGTTAGCCTTCTTTTCTAGTTCTTCTGTCTTCAGCGCCTGAGACACAAGACTACTTAGGGTGCTGAGATCCCAGTATTGAAAAACCAGATTGCCCTCTTACTGTCCCTGCTCTCAAGCCTGTTTTCTTCCAGCAAATCACTTTCCGAGGATTCCCGGAAATCCTTCGCGGTGACTTGTGGGAAGTGTAGTCCCGTGTACGATGACGTCAGAAGACTGGGCTTTGGATACCGGAAGAACTTGCGCTTTGAGACTTCAAACTTCTCTTCTCCCCATAGTTAGTCGCGTATCCTGCTCAGCGCTGGGCTTGGATCTCTAACATGGAGGTTGGTGCAGGGGGCAGCGCCGTCCTGCAGATCTGAGAGACTTGCAAGGTGGCGAGTCCGGCGTGGAGGGAGCTGACTTGTGCTGGGTGGGAGACAGAAGAAGCTGAGCTGGAGGTGCAGCTGTGCTGACCTAGACTGGGCCACTGCCCCTGGGTGCAGGTTTGACAGGGGAGAGGGGGACATGCCAAAGCCACGTGCTGTGGGTGTCCAGTCTCTTAGAACGCCCGGCTGCCCGAGTCCACCTGAGCTTCTGGTGACCTAGGAGCTGAAGGGAGCTGACTTTCCTGCTTGGCTGGGGAAGCATGCTCTCTCCCTAGTGACCCTGCCTCACATGGCTGTAGTCAGATTTCTCAGGATTTCTAGGAAGAGTGGACACCTAGCCCCACTTACACTGCGTAGGACACCTAGACCCTCCCACACTTTAGGAAGCTCACAGAAGTTCCTCAAGTTCTTAGTTTACAGGGACACTGTCCTGTGAGGGCAATTGTTGTATAGGATTTAGTTTCTTTTCCTTTGGAATTAATTGTTAGATTTATGAATGCCTCCAGTGGAGTAGGAACATTACATAGACTGCTGTGGCCGGCATTACCGCACTACACTTCCTTATGACACAGAATAATCTTGTAGTTAGTATGAAGCTGTCTTTGCAAAATCCACACAATTATGAGCTTCATGCTGCAGAGTGAGAACTACTAGAGAGCAATACTGTGCCAATTCCTTTTGAGACTGTAATGTCATAAACTTGGGTTCCTTTTCTGGTGTGAGAGAAGACTTGATATGATGGGATAAGTGGACCTCATGATTGACAGGAGGAGGCTTGAATATCTCTGAAAGTGAGAGGTGTAGGTAGATGTTTCTCTCCTACCAACCTGTTCCCAAATATTGACTCAGAGGTTGTATATTAATTATACACACTAGGTCAATAACTAAGGCTTCTTACTAACTAGCTCTTTGAAGTTAACCCATATTCCGTATTTACTGTCTGCCTTGTGGAGGTACCTTTATTAACATGGGAGGTTAATCTCCTGCTCCTTCTGTGTCTGCTGGCAGATTCCTCAGACTATATCCTTGTCCTTCAGATCATCCTTACTTTGGTCATACTACCTATATGTCCTTCGTGGCTACTGGCCATTCAGTGTTTAATACCAATTGGAATGGCAAATCTTTGTAGAGTGTATAAAAGGATTATTCCGCAGAGGGGAGAAACGGTCCAGGTGATCTGGTAGGTTCTGCACACTGTTCTCTCATCACATGCTTTCCTTCAATCTCTTCACTTTATCTGTAATGTTCATAAAAGAAAGCTCTTATATGTGTTTCTCCCAGAGACAGAAAGATAGATTTTGTTTCTTGATCCATTTGTCTGTCCCATGACTTTTGCATGAGGAATGGAGGGCATTGGTTGTTCTGATGTGTGATATGTGAGTTGCCACTGTCCTGCTGACTTTTGGTGGTGCTGTTTGTGTTCTCAGTGGACCTTTTGTGTTTTAGTGACTTTGGCTTCTTCTTTCCACTGTCTCTTGGCTATGCACATTCTTCTTGGTAATGGTATATTATTTATGATATATTAAAGCTTGCCTGGAGATTCAGAAAAGCAGTCAGCCTCATACTGTAGATATCAGGAGTCAAGAAGATACATACCGTTAATCCCAGCAGCCTGAAGCTAAGAGGTGATGGTACACACCTTTAATCCTAGGACTCAGGATTAAGAGGTAGCTAGATCTCTGTGAGTCCAAGGCCACCCAGATCTATGTAAGAGTGAATCAGTCTAAAAGAGAACTATAGCTCACACCATTCATCCCAGCATTAGGGAAGAACATAAAACAGAAGCAAGGTCTCAGAAAGGAATTCATTCTCCAGCAACGCTGAGGAGAGGCAGCAGTTTGAGATTTGGTGAGAGCTCCTGGAGACAGGCTCAGCCCAAGGTAGAGATGAGATGTAGTGGTCAGGTACATTGCTTCCCCGAGCTTCAGCTTGACCACCAATGTCAGACTCTTGGTCCTTTTATGTTCCATGCTACACTTATCTTCAGCCTAAGATATCCCTTCCTGTATTTTCTTTAGCTTTGATTTGTAGTATATACCTTTTTAATGCTTCTTATATTGTCTTTGTCCTTCAGCTGTGACAGATGGTTTTGCTGTATGCAGTAGCTTAGGTTGGCTGTCATGCTCTTTTAAGACTTGGGATGCTTTTCTCCAGGCCCTTCTGGGTTCCAAAGTTTGCACTGAGAAATCAGCTCTGATCTCTATACACCTTTCTTTTTGCTTGCAGCTCTCAGTCTGCTGTGAGGAGTTTCTTTCTGCTCTTGTCTTGCCGGTTCTGTGGGCTTCTTGTAATTTTATGGGGACGTCTTTTTCTCATTGGAGAAAGATTTCTTTTATGATCTTGTTGAAGGTCTTGTCTCTGCCTGGGGTTTCTTTCCATCTCTGCCTATATTTTGCAGGTTTGGTCTTTTCATAGTGTTTATCATCTACATTCCCTTTTGTGGGCTCTTTTAAATTTTCATATTCTTAACTTATTTCATGTAGATCAGCTACTTTATCTCTAATTGCTGACACCTTTGTTCTTCTTGATTCATTCAAATGTAAGGTTTGGTGGATAGATTGTTGGCTTCTCAAATCCATCTTAATTTCAGCTAAAGACCTCACCAGTCTTTCTCTTTATTGAAATACAGTTTCAATTCCTGGATTGTCCTCATCATTTTCATCATTCTTATGGTTTTTTTCTTCTTGTTGAAATTTAAGAAAAGCAGAACTGGAGAATAAGATGCCAGTAGACAGGGTTCAAACAGAAAGCATCACACTGTATATACTCAGGAAGCCAGGCCTCAGCCCAGAATTGCTGGAGCAGATCTGCATCTTCATTGTGTTTATCATTTGTGATTGTTCATATTGGGGTCACAAGTATCCTCCCCATCACCATAGCTTTCTACAGTGAGAACCTACATTCATCTCAAAATTGTATTATTTATTTGTTCTTGTAGTGTGCATAGATGTTTTGCCAGTGTCCATGTCTGAGAGACTGTCTGATCCTCTGGAAGTGGAGTTACAGACAGTTGTGAGTATCCATGTGGCTGCTGGGAATGAAGCCCAGGTCCTTTGGGAGAGCAGCCAGTGCTGTTTACTACTGAGCCATCTCTCCAGGATCAACATACTCTTCTGTAGATAACACTCACTCTCCATTTTATGGTTCTTAAATGTATAATATCCATGAGAGTTTCTAGGACCTTCTGCCATTCAATTCCTTAATCATGAGTCCTATTCTGCATTAAGGAAGTACGTCAGACTTATTTTAGTGATATTGATTTCCTGTATCAGAAGCACTTGTAGGTTTCCTTTCACTCAGGGTCATCTTTGCATTTATATCCAGAAAAAACATGCCTCTTGGTATTTATGTTTTTATTGGTAGTTTTAATTAGCATAATATATAGTATTCATTCTTTTTTCTTTATTTCAGGAAATGCTGTCATTCAGGGATGTGGCCATTGATTTCTCTGCAGAGGAGCGTGAATGCCTGGGACCAGATCAGTGGGATCTGTACAGGGATATGATGTTGGAGAATTACAGCAACCTCGTGTTCCTGGGTGGGTTGTTCTTTTTTCTAATTTTTTAAAATTGTTGCTGCCTTGTAATCCATGGCTGTCCTAATCAGGAAGTGCAACTCCTCTGCTACCAGCAGTTGTTAGGACACAAGAGCAGCAGCAGCGGGGGAGGGGTGGGGGCATTCTGTTCCCTCAGGCACTGACTCTTTCACAGCTAGGAAGGGAATTTGTCTAAATCTCTGTCCCTCTAAAGTACTCAACATTCAAAGGTTGAGGTGGAATTCTGCTCCTCAGGGAGGCTGAATAGCAAGTAGCCTACCTGCTCTCCTTCTCTTGTCTCAGAATGTGCCCCTTCTTCTCCTCACCCCTACTTAAAACCATTCCTTCCCCTGGCTCCTCCCTACCATTTCCTGTCAGCCAGTTGCTGACTCAGCCTCCTGAGCACAGGTGAATTTTATTTAATCTTTCACATCTTTGCATTATTGAACAAATGTTCCCGAGCATAAACAAAAGTAACACACCTTAAAATATATCCTACAGCATGGGTGAGGAACACTTCCATGGTGAACTCTTAATAACTGTCAGCATAAAACTATCTTCGAACAGTATCTCATGGTAACTTGTGCTTCCAACGATGAAATTTATTGGGCAATTTTTAAGGAAATTTAAGGAGAGTATTCATACACCTTAGAATGATGTTGTTTCTTCCTGTGTTCATAATTTTCCCCCTTCCTTTTAGAAGTATCTGTTATGTTTGTGTAATATTATAAAGCAAGTGGTGTGAGTGGGGAGCATACAAGTTAAAAAGAATATCTCGCTCTTCAGTTTAAATATTTTTCCTTCTAGCTGAGGGACATGAAGGTCAGGACCTGCAAATCCTAAATTCTCCTAAGCATTAGCTGTGTCCTCCAGGAAATACATGAAGAACTAATCCTCTACAATTCTTGATTGTCTCTTCTCATTCCTTATTCACACACAGTCCTAGAGAGGACATGAGGTCTCCAGGAGATCACACTAATAGTGGTGTTCTCTTTTCCCACAAATAGGTCTTGCTTCCTCTAAGCCATACCTAGTCACATTTCTGGAGCACAGTCACGGGCCTTCAGATAAGAAGAGACAAGCATCAGCTGCCATGCAAACAGGTGTGTAGGAATGGGGGGATAAGAATAGAGTGGGAGACCTGAGATCCAACAGGAAGCCAGGCTTTATCATGAACATTGCCTCAAAATGCTCTGATGAAATCAGTTTTTAACGGTCGCCTTTTCTCTTTTGCTGTGAGAAGAGGGTGTGATGATGCATGGATTCTCTTAGGCTTTGTTCTTCTCCCATTATGTCAGCTATGTTTACAGTGACTGCCTCAGTTCTGTAATTTCTAGGTGACCATGATTTCTTTTTCATAAGTTAATTAGTGGATATTTATTCATTAAGTGAGCATAGATCCTACTGTCTTCAATCCATGAAATGCATTATTTAATATTTTTGTGGTTATGCAGCATAATTTTCATCCCTTGCAAACTAGAAGTCTGTAGTTAGGAGATATATATATATATATATATATATATATATATATATATATATATATATATCCTAAAAATATGTGTCTTCCAACTTTGACTGTTTTCATCTGTATACATCTACTCATAAAATTTCTATATTTCTTCAAGCAGCGCATTTACAATAGCACAATAGGCTTGTTTTCCTAATTGGTGATGTTGTGCCTTCCTTACATGTTTGACTTTGATGAATATTGTTTAGATTCTTTGATCTATGTTGTCATGGCCTTCTTCTTTCACTGAAAGTTACATAATTTCCACCTGTCATGGTGTTTTTAATTAGGCTCCACTGAATACAACTTTAGAAATTTGAATGTAACCTATTATTTATATTGAAAATTTCAGGTATGAGGAAATGATTCTTTTTTAAAAAATAAACATAAATGTAGAGAACTTAGCTCAGTTTTCACTCATTTCTCAACCTTTGTTCACCAGGAAAAAAACACTCTACAGGCAAAAAATGTGGTATAACCATTTCCTGGAACTCACAACCCATTAACAACCAGAATATTAATTTAAGAAAGAAGCCCTATAAGTGTGAAGAATGTGGCAAGGCCTTCTGTATTCCGTCATTACTTTGTGAACACAAGAGAGTACATACAGGAGAGAAACCCTTCAAGTGTGAAGTCTGTGACAAAGCCTTCCATGCTCCATCATTACTTTCTAAACACAAAAGAATCCATACAGGAGTGAAACCCTATAAGTGTAAAATGTGTAGCAAGGCCTTCAATTGTCCATCACTACTGTCTGCACACAAGAGCATTCATACAGGAGAAAAGCCAAACAAATGTGAAATATGTGGCAAGGCCTTCTATTTTCCATCACGACTTACTGAACACAAGAAAATTCATGCAGAAGAGAAACCCTACAAGTGTGAAATATGTGGGAAGCTCTTCAATCGTCCATCAAGTCTTTCTGTACACAAGAGGGTTCACAGAGGAGAGAAACCCTACAAATGTGAAGTATGTGGCAAGGCCTTCTATATTCCATCACAACTTTCTATCCACAAGAGAATCCATACAGGAGAGAAGCCCCACAAGTGTGAAGTATGTGGTACTGCCTTCAATTGTACATCAGGACTTTCTGTACACAAGAGGATTCACACAGGAGAAAAGCCTTACAAATGTGAAGTATGTGGCAAGGCCTTCAATCGTCTATCAGGACTTTCTATACACAAGAATATTCATACAGGAGAGAAACCTTACAAGTGTGAAGTATGTGGCAAAGCCTTCAATGGTCCATCAGGACTGTCTGTACACAAGAGGATTCATACAGGAGAGAAACCCTACAAGTGTAAACTATGTGGCAAAGCTTTCAATAGTCTATCAGGACTATCTAAACACATGATGATTCATACAGGAGAGAAACCCTACAAATGTGAAGAATGTGGCAAAGCTTTCCGAATTCCATCTCTACTTTCAGAACACAAGAGAATTCATACAGGAGAGAAACCCTACAAGTGTGAAATATGTGGCAGGGTCTTTAGAATTTCACGGATTCTTTCTGCTCACATGATAATCCATTCTGGAAAGAAAACCCACAAGTGTGAGGAGTGTGGAAAAGCCTTCTATAAAAAGTCACAACTAAATCACCACAAATTGACTCACACTGGGGAGTAACCTTACAAATATGAAGAATATGGCAAACTCATCATCTGTACCAGAACCTTAAAGAACATCCAAGAATTCTTTCTGGAGAATGTGGTAACGACTTTAGAACTTACACAGCACGTTCTATCCACCAGACTAGTCACATTGGAGGGAAACATTACTAGTTGGAGAATGGCAAGGCCTTTCACCAGTGTTCTGGTCTTAAAGAACAGCTAAGAAATCAATGAGAGAGAAGCCCTGTGAAGAATGCGCCAAGGTCATTTGCACTTATTAACACCTTTTGAAACACCTGATAATTCATATTGGAGAGAAATGCCTGTAGTGTCAAAAATGTTAAAAACCCTTCAATAAATTTCTAGTGTTTTTCATCCCAAGGTAGTTTAAAAATTCAGTGAAATAATACTAATGTTAAAGATTTCATAAAATGTTTTATGCTTTTTACTTCTTTACAAGATATCAAAAAGTATTCTGAATAGAAGCCCTATAAGTAGGGACAATGTGGTGAAGCCTTTAGGTCATTCAGACCTTACCCAGCACAAAGAATCCATAGTACAAGGAAGCCATACACATGTGAAGGATCTGGTGAGGTCCTTGAGCACTCAATCAACATTTCCTGCCCTTCTTAGAATTCATCCCAGAGGGAAACAACACAACTGTGGATGGTGTGGCAATGCTTTCAAGGAGCCCTCATACCTTCAACCAGTGCTCCTCAGCCTTCCTAATGCTGACACCTTTAATACAGTTCCTCATGCTGTGCTGAGCCCAGCCATAAAATTGTTTTCCTTGCTACTTCCAACCTAACAGTTTGCTACTGTTATGAATCATTATGTAATATCTTTGTATTCAATGGTCTTAGGTGACCCCTGTGAAAAGGTCATTTGAACTCCAAGGGGTTATGATCCACATCTTAAAAATTGCTTCCTTAAATAAAGGTATTCATACTAAGCAATGACTTGGAGAGCATTGGGAAATTTTTTCTTCATCTTTTACCCCTTGTTTAGCTTCAAGGAAATCACTCAGCCTAGCAATATGTATGAATCTCAGTTGTTTAGATTCCTTGATTATTGGCTCAAGAACATGTCTGTAGGTCATTTTATTTCTGTTAATTGATGTAGGGGAACCTAGACCACTGGATGATGGCAGTAAACCATGCATGTGCCACCCTTGGCCAGGTTTCTAATCATTCTTTTTTTGTTTTTTTTTCTTTTTGTTTTTTTTCTTCAAGACAGGATTTTTCTGTATTGCTTTTCAGCCTGTCCTGGAACTCGCTGTGTAGAGCAGACTGGCTTTGAACTCACAGAGATCCACCTGCCTCTGCATCCCAAGTGCTGGGATTAAAGGTGTGTGCCACTAAGCCAGGCTCTCTAATCATCCTTTATAATAAGAAATCGGAGTTGGCTATCAGGGTGAAACTGAAGGATCAGAGAAGCAATCAGCCATCCACTACAGTTCTTTCATCTACTAATGCTCAGACCAAAGGGACCATCCTGTCCTCAGACTGCTTCCTCAGAATGCCTGCCTTTTCAGACTGCATCCTCAGACTGCTTCAGACTGCCTGCTGCTCAGACTGCACTGAACTCTTGACTCTTCTCGCCTTTTATTGTTCTCTGGCCAGCTATGTCACTCCTGTCTCCACCTTCCTAGTTCTGGGATTAAATTCATGTGATCCCAAATTTCAGGATCACCATTGTGTGAGCTCTGTTTCTCTTTTAGATTGGATTTCCTGTAGCTCAGGATGGCCTTGAATTAAAAGGGATCCTTCTGTCTCTGTCTCCTGAGTGCTGGGATTAAAGGTGTGTGCCACCAGTGCTTGACCTCTATGGGCTAGTTCTGTGCTCTGACACTCATGAAAGCTTTATTTGTTCGGTCATAAACAAAATTTCGTCACATTATCCTATTTTTGTCTAAAATAAGAAAGGTTGTAACAAATACAAGAAAAACTATACAATAAAGGCAATAAATACATCAACAGTGATAGCCCATTTTCATTTGACTAATTAAGAGAAAACAGTCCATTATCTATCCTAGTGTTGTAAGTCCAAAGTCTTGTACCTAATTCACTTTCTAGGCTAATACTCATTACCATCCAAAACTATCTTTTGATATCTCTCAACCTTATACACTTAAAATCTCTTTAATGAGTTTCTTTACTGAGTCTGCTACACAAGGAAGACTTTAACTATAACTATAACTGTAACTATAACTATAACTTTAACTATAACTTTAACTATAACTTTAACTATCTAGTCTTCAACTCCCTTAGAGACCCAAGAAGGAAATAATATTAAATGAGTAAGCAGGAAGTGCAAGCAAGCAACTTGCAAAAAATGTGAGAGATTACAGAATAGCTGGTTACAGAGATAGTCACCCAATGCCTCTCTGTAATGTTGGGCCATCTATCTTTGGCCCACAATTCTAGACTATTCCACACACTTTTTATAAAGCAGGATTTTTTTTTCCGGAGACATGGTTTCTCTATAATTTTGGAGGCTGTCCTGGAACTAGCTCTTGTAGACCAGGCTAGTCTCGAACTCACAGAGATCCACCTGCCTCTGCCTCCCGAGTGCTAGGATTAAAGGCGTGCGCCACCAACGCCTGCATAAAGCAGGATTTTTGAAGACCTTGTCTTGTCAAGGTTTGGCAGTCTCTCTCTTTTGTGTCCTGCTTGTCCAACTAAGACAACATACTGTCAGCAGTCAAGGCAACAGTACTTTGTTGCCCAGTGGCCACTATTGCCAAAAAGAAAGTAAACTCCATGTGGAGTTTATTCAGTGCTCATCATCTTCTCTGTAGTACATTGGTGCTGCCTGGAGCAGACATGTCTCATTGTTATAAAATAAAGAACCTATGTCATTAAAACATGTTAGATGTCATATTTTGTGGGTCTCTGAAGTGTTTGAAGATGACTTGTCTTTTTAAAATATATCTCTGTTTGACCTTTGAAACATACTTACTGTGACTACAAGTTTGGCTTATTAGGTAATTACTAACCTACCTTTCCATATTATGCTATAAAGTTAATAATATCTTTCAAGGACTATAAGTTTGCATTACATCGTTAAAATGAGCTGTATAAGTGTAATACCTTGAATAAGATTAGAAACATATGTACAGGATCTTTTAACAAATTTATCTCAAATTTGTATTATATACAAAATTTGTATACAATATACAAATGTTCAATCCAATGTAAAACATTCAAAACTAGTAGTTGCTTTTTAACAGTAGATTCAATAATCTACCTTTTTTATCTTATAGCTATATCATCCCTTTTTTTTAGAGTAGATTCAATAATCCATTCTTTTATCCTAACATATCTATATGCCCCTTTTTTCTTTTCAAAACAAAACTGAATCTAATCCCTATTGTTCAACTTTTTTCTGTCCATAACCAGTAACACCTTTTCACCAACCCCTAAACAATGTCAAATATTCATAACCCAATGAAATACAAAAATAACCTACCCTACTTCTTGGGAATGTGGGCATCATGTTCTTAAAGTTACTTCCTGCTGTCTGGGGACAAGGGCATCGTTAGGGGATCCTGAAAAAATTTTGGACCCATTATCAAATCCTGGGAGAGATGGCTGTATCATAGGTTATCTGGTCTCTATGACATGGGAGAGTACGGGGCTTGTCTCAAGTCCTGGCTAGAGTAGTCTGTGAAGCTGGATCATCTCAGCTAGCCACCTACAAATTGTTCTGAGCAGTTTGTAGCCCAGAGCCGATCTTTATGTGCGGTTTTTCAGCTTAGTGTTAATATCATAGTCATGGAGCCATCAACATTGTGGGGTCCCATCATCTTCAGAGATCAAATTAGGTCAGAGCATTCCTTTTCTTGTTAACATTTTCCCATGTAATTCCCCCTTATTTGGATGCTTATTTTTTTTCAAAGTTCCTTAAATTCCTCAAGATGGTTGTTTTTGTTTTCCTGAATACACATGACCAAAACCTTCCCAACCCTAACTTTGGGGAGTTTCCCTTTTGGCAAATTGTATCTGATCAAATAAAAAGCATTTGTTAGTTTTAAAGTCAGTTTAGATTGAATGGCCATGCTGTTTGATGAACTATCACCTCTTCTAATCAAGAGGTCAGTCTCGTTCAAATCTAATCTTTAGTTGCTCTAGGGAGGAGTTTCCCCCACAGTGACAGGAAACAACTGAACTGAAATTGGCATGGGGGCCCGTGAGAGGCCCCTCAAGGCATTTCCAGATGGCAAAGGGCTACCTTGACTGACACTTGTTGATCTACATTCATTAGTCCAATGCCTGCAATTGCCATATCTCTGTTTAATCCAGAAGTGAGGGGTATTCTATTTGAATTAGGCTTAGAAACACACATTGTTTCTAGGAACTCCCTGTTTACAGTCCCTTTTAAGGTCCTTTTTGCCACATTTGTAACACTTGACATTTTGTTTTTCTTCAACCCTCTGGAAATCGCCTCTCTTACGTAAGCATCTTCTTGGTCATGAGATTCAATATTGATTGTATCTCAGATCCATTCCTCCAAAGGTGCTGATCTTGCCTTTAAAGGCCTAATTATCCTTCTGCATTGCACGTTAGGATTTTCAAAAGCCAAAGACTAAATTACTATTTGTCTAGCTTCTGAATTCGATGTCATTCTATTTACTGCTGATATCAATTTTTATAAATAAAAAAAACTCAGTGAATTTTCTTTGGGGCCTTTTATAACTTTAGCAAATGTTTCAATTTTCTTTCTTACTTCTCCAATTGCTTCCCAAGTCTTCAAAGCTGCTGAGTGGCGTAATGCCAGTGTGTGGCCATCCTATAGGGATTGCCTTTCTATCCTGGCATAATCTCCTTCTCCAAGAAGTTGATCTTGGGAGATTTCCATACCTCTATCTCTACTCTGCTGTTCAATGGCCTTAGCCTCTTTTTTTCCCACCAGGTCCTCCAATTGTAATTGTGGCCCAGGCTCCAAGACTGCTGTAGCCAAATGTCTCCCCTCTTTTTGTATAATTCTATTACATGTTAACCACAACTTTAACATCTACTTCACAAATGGTGAATACTTGCCATATGAGACTACCACTTCCTTAAATCTCCTTAAATCTAACCACAGAAGTTCAATCAGCTCTTATAGAGCCCCTACAATTTAGCAATTCCTGTAATATGTTAAGGTTGGTTGTGTGAAAACCTTAGTCTGTTCCTCTCTAACATTAAAATGTAATGCTGAGATTGGTTCCCCTTTAAATTCCTGTCTGTGTCTCAATATTTCTATGATCTGTTTCAATAAGTTTTTCTAAAACTTATATCTAAAACTTAAAACTAATATGAACCAACATTTCAGTGATAAAACAAAATGATAAATCTGACAATGTTCATAAGTGACATTAAATAAATCCCATCAAAATTAGTTATGCTTCCATTTAATTGTCCCATTTTCAAACAGTCCAGTGTATTATGGTACAGAGACCTAATTTCCCCCATTGTAATATGTAACATTTTTTAATATGGGAAAAACTCTCTCAACTAATTCCTCTCTTTAAGAAATCCCAATTTTCTCACTAAGTCTGCTAACAATGATGGTGAAATGTGAGGTGTACCATGCCTGAGTGATGGACACAGGCAGTGAACAAACAAGCTGGCTGAGGAGAGCTGAAGCTGCTACCATGTACCTGTGAGCTGAGATAGGCAGTCTGTGGAGAGGGTGTCTAGGGGAAGCTCACAAAATGGGGGAGAAGTTGGCTGTCTGAAAAATGCACATGGGATTGTGTGGACGATGCATGTGAGGCAGGAGCTGCCTGAAGTCAGAGCTAGCTGGTATAGGGTGGGTAAGTCCTGTGGTGTTGGGAGTCCAGGTGCTTCTGGAGTTTTGGTGTCAGCTGGAGACTGTTGTAGAGAGACTGTAACAGAAAATCCCAAAGTTGCTCAGAGGCCGGGGGGAAAAAAGAAAGAAAACCTAGCCAGTGTTGTGTGCAGCTCTGGCATGTGCCAGTGGCATATCACATGCAAGAGACTTTTTCATGAATCCGTGCCCTAAAGTTGGGCACCAGTTTTCACAAGAGTTCTAATTGGTCTTAATAAAATCCAAAGCCAGATTGAATCAGGGTAAATCCTAAAAGATCAGAGAGACAAAGGAGCAAACCACAGCCAACTTTTACCTTGCTGACTCACATGAAAAGTAGCTGAGCTTCTGTTTCTCCATCCTTATATCTCTCTCTCTGTGTCCAGCCATATCACTTCCTGTCTGTCTGTACAGACTTTCAGACCCCTATGGTTAACTAACGGTCAGCCCATCCTCTGATCTTCAGGCAAGTTTTAATTGTTAGAGCATACGATATCACCCCAGTGTTACTTTGCCTGCCTAAAACACCTGGTTGGTTAATAAAGAGCTAAATGGCCACATAGCAAGGATGGAGAGAGGATAGGCAGGGCTGGCAAGCAGAGAGAATAAGTTAAAGATCTAGTAATGAGAGAAGGATAAGGAGGAGGACATCAGAGGCCAGCCACCTAGCTACACAGCAAACCATGGAGAAAGAAGGTAAGAAATGTATACAGAAAGAGAGAAAGATAAAGGTCCAGAGGCAAGAGATAGATGGGATTATTTAAGTTAAGAAAAGTTGGGTAGGAATAAGCCAAGCCTCTGTGTACTAATCTGGGAGCTGGGTGGCATCTCCCCCCACAAAGAGTAAAGAGTGAAAAAACAACTACATTTTGGCATTAAAGCATGGGACCGTATTTCCCTGTAGGGTGTGGGGAAGCTGGAAAAATGAAAAGAGAAGAGAAAGGAAAAAAAAAAGACACAACTTCTTTAAGAGGTGCTGCTGTTCAGCACGCAGCACTAAATAGGAAAGGCAAGCTAAGAAACAAACATTTGTTTCAACGTACTTGTTCAGGTGGAAGTCCCACCTGGGCCCCTCCTCTCTCTCTCTGCAGACCCTGCCACAGAGAAAGCCTGCTGAGCACCCTTTATGACTCCTGGTGTCCTTAAGACCACGCCTACATGG